TTTCTATATTTTGCATATTTTAAAATGTTTCCACCATGTCTATAATTTTTACAATATTTCCATATGATATTTCCGACATTTCCGACATGTTTCTTATATTTGGATGACCGACATTTCCACCGACGTCGACATTTTAAACCTTGACCCCGCACACATCAACGACAAAGAACAGCATGAACGCCAGTCAACCGGATTTCGCCAATGGGTAGACATGAGAAAAAATGAAAACAAAAGGAAATGGAGGTCACTAACAAGACCCAAAAATTTTTCTCAACAAAGTTTTCTCACTATGGTCGCACTATTTTGGTGCGGTCCTGCTTACTCAATTTTGGGATCCTGTGCCCCACATTTTTCCCATACCATACCCCTATTTCCCTCAAAACAAATAAAGGAAACCCATCCTGATCCTACAAACCAAACACAGCCTTAAAAAGTCAATACACAACATCTAAGAAACTTCTTGGTTCTTCCAATCCCAACTTCCACTCCACTCCCCTTTTGTTCACAGATCCTCTTGTTTATCTCCTTCCACAGCAAATGGGATTTACTTTCCATAGGATTCTTCCCCTCACACTAAAGCCTTTGAACTGCCAAGAAGACAAAAGCATAGATAGATCTGCTGGGATCACTCAAATCCTGCTAAACAGCCTTATGAAGTTTACCCATACAGCTCGGGATAGATCACACTGTACCAAAATAGTAAATTGACTCCTCTGCCCATTTGCAAAGTGAACAAACAATATTCCAATTTCTGTCGTTTCCTATTCAGATTTTGTCAAGTTACCATTTTAAATTACCCCTGGTGTATCATGTTGTGTTATACGTCTTCCCTATATCAAATAGCATATTAATTCAATTAGTGAATCACATTAACATACAAAGTACTATGAAATAAAGCTTTATAGTTAGAGTGATTAAACTTTAGATTTAGCCATCTACCAAATGAAGAATACATGTGGCCAGAATGTGATCAATATTTCCATTAAAATCTCTTTGCTGAACTTAAAACAAAACAAAGAACAAATCCTTGACATTAGTAATTCCACTGCACAATAATGTAGGTTTGAAAGATAAAAGTGGACAAATAGCCTACAACTGGAACAGACCTGCTCAATTTTGTTAAAATGGTCTCTGTCAGCATCTTCTAGAGACACACCATTAAGAACTGCCTCCTTTATCTGGGCTGCAACAACAGAAGTGAACAGTATTTAGTTAAAAGATCAAAACAAATAAATCATTCCTAAAATATTTATCTACTATTTAAAAGAATTGAGGGAAGACCCTATTAACATGCTAGCAATGAAGGGGACAAATCTATCTAAACAGGTAATAAAAAGCTTATATTATGTTGACCACATTTGGATCAACAACAGCATGTCAATAAGTTTATGGTTCCAACTAGTGTCGGTGTCATAACTGATAATCCTTGCAGATGCACGAGAGAGATTGTAGTCAAGTGTATAGCGACGTTTAACAGATTTATGGCACCTGCTAGTACATGAACTAGTAAAAGGAGCAGAGCCACATAAGAGCTGTTGTTCTCCATTTCCAGTCCCACTATGACTTCACAAGTTCTAACTGTTGCACATTATACCACTGGTACGAAGTCTCGCCCATTTCCTACTCTGGTGCCTTCTAGACTATTGCAACTGAAGAATAAGGCAGGATGAAATATCAAAATATCTCCCGGTTCATACCACTAGCAGGAGATACCAACATCTAAAGCAGCCACAAAGCAGACATAAGAGTGGTCAACCAAGGAACCACACCCCTCAGAGGGTTTGAACAAAGGTCATTCATTGTTTCAATAAATGATCTTTTCTAGGGGTTATCTCTGCTAAGCTGAGGGATTCTTTTTGATATTTTGTATAGGATCTGTCTAAGGATCTTTTTTTTTTTTTTTGATAAAAAACTGTCTAAGGATCTTGGACAGCTTTGTCACTCCTTTTGTTAGTAGGTTCATTTACCTCCATACCTACATACTTATCTTCTTTTCAAGCTAATATACTCATTTTCGTGAGCAATGTTTATACTGTTCAAATTTTCATGGTATAGACACAATGACTAGCATCTTCTTCTACCTTATTCCAAAAGCCACTAATTTTTACCTTGTAATAATTATATCAGTTGCTTTCTCAGTACAAATCTTTACTACATAATGCAAAAAATTGATCTTGGCAAACAGCCCCACATCAATATGACCACTAAATCACTAATATCTAGAACCATATGATTTTCTCTTCATTGACTTTACTCTGAAAGCCATAATGCATGCATGCATAGCAGTACATTGCTACATATCTCAGTTCCAATCCTCACAAATATTAGAAATTCAATTAACTTAACAAATTTTGAAGACTAGAAATGGTGAATGCCAAATCACTTTGAGAAACATAATTTGTGGACTTGACATAATTAAACAGTCCTCCAAACGTATTAAAATTAAACAATAGCGATTCCAAGCATATCAATACTACTGTCAATACCATAAAGATGCAGAAAAAACAAGATGGTTACCCTCCACTATACGCTTACGAGCATCAGTCATTGCCTCCCACTGTGAGGATTCTCGGATAGCCTTAAATGCATTATAAATGGGTTTACTCTGTCCCAGTCTAAGTTGAAATTTAACCTTCTCCGGCTGCAAAATAAAGTTAAACACCGTCAACAACAAGGTGGAAGAAACTGTGGAATGTCACACCAAACAATATGGCAATCAACAAAATGGCAAGTAAAATCACCAGTTCCACAGGGGAAAAATATCGTTCTTAATACTCCACAAAGAACAAGCCAAACCTGAACTTCTTCGATGGCAGAGCGTAGTTCAGGAGAATCCTTGACAGACTTGAGATGATTCACTATTCCCCAAACCACTTGGAGGCGATCAATGATCTTCTCCAATGGCTCGACTAATTTCGGCCAAGTTGGTTCTACCGTCTCCTCTAATTCAATCAAATCTTTCTCCTATAAATACATCGTTCAATCATTAAATCCCAAATAAAAAGGTAAAAAAAATAATCACAATAAAGAAAATGAAAAGAAAAGAATCCTTACGAGTTTCGCTAACAAAGCTCTGATCCCAGGTCGAACATGCTTCGCCTCGACAACATGGTAGGGAGGGAAAACGAAGTCCTGCAGGAGAGGGTTCTCTTCGAGCTTATCTTCCGATGGCACTAATTTAGCTTCGGACCCCATTGACTGAGAAGAAGAACAACAAAAATCGGAGGTGATAGAGGTTGATTTATGGAGTTTGTGAAGGCAAAATAAGAAAGAAGACGACCAAAGGGGACAAGGATGTGATTTGGGGAGACGTTTAGGAGTTTTAAAGGGATAAGAGGAGTGTAATAGAGGTCGGAAAGAGCGGGATACTGAAATGCACGTCGCCATGAACATGTTGACCAGTATAACGAGAGCTACGAGCCTTCCTATGTTTACCCTCATCCTTTCCGATCCTTCTCTATTAGCTGTTACGATGGTTGTTTGGCATTTTGTTGCATAGACAATAGATATTAGGGTAAATTTTTTAAACAACCTCTACTGTTTAGCTAATTGATTAAGTGTATTTACTCTTTATAAATTGACTAATACTACCTCTACTGTGTAACAATTGATTAATACTTCCTTTAATAAAAAGACGAAAAAACTATTTTACCCTTACTATTTATAAGAACCAACGAATGAAACGTCACACCCTTCATCCTCTTTCTTCTTCAACAACGGAGTCCTCTGTTAAAAAAGCAGAGTGAACCAAATAGGGGCGGCGATAGCAACCCCTCTCTCGGAATTGTATGCGCATTGGGCCTAGGAAACCCGAAAACGAAAGCCAACAAATCGGAGGACCCCTCTTTTCTTCTTCAACAAAGCTCGTGAAGCCCCTATTCGGTTCACTTGTTCTCTCTTTTCATTGTCATTGGTTCACCGAAGGACCCTTCTTTGCTTCTTCAACAGAACTTGCAAAACCCTTTGTTCGGTTCACTCGTTCTCTCTCTTCATTGTCGCTGGTTCACCATAGGACCCTTCATTGCGGCAGCGGCAACCCCCTGAACGACAGTGGTAGGGGATCAGTAACTAATTGTTTTTCTTTCCCTTCTTCTTTTTCTGTTTTGGCTCTGAAAGTGTTGAATCTGCTGGTGGAGTAGTGATATTTCCATCCCACTGTCCCACAATGATAAGTTGTGAAAAATCAATAATAATTAATTAAGAAGTGGCCTTTAATGGTGGAATATTAATTCAAAGTGGTACACGCACATTGCATGCAGATCTGTCTGAGATGGGTATACGAGCAAGGGGTGGGTTTGTTGGTGAAAAGCTGCAATGAGGGGAGGTTGAAGAAGAACCTGGATATATTCAATTGGGTGTTGAGCGATGAGGAAGGGTGCAGCGCCAGGCAGTTAAATACGTCATGGTAGACGAGTGGTTGTAAAGAAGATCCAACATGCTCCCCTACCTGCGCTGCTTGCGACCTACCGAAACCGAGCTCGTACTCCGCGACACTCATGAGGGTCTGTGCGGCGAACACTTGGGGGGCAGGGCCCTTGCCCAAAAAGCGCTTCGACAAGGGTGTTATTGGCCAACAATGAAGGCAGACGCCATTGAACTCGTTAGAAAATGTGACAAATGCCAGAGACATGCCAATATTTACCACCAACCCGCTGCCGACCTCAAATACCTCACCAGTCTGTGGCCCTTTGCACAGTGGGGCATCGATCTACTCGGGCCATTCCCGTTAGCAACGGGTGGAAGGAAGTTCTTAGTGGTAGCAGTGGACTATTTTACCAAGTGGGTAGAAGTCGAACCCCTCGTAACAATAACAACCCGAAATGTCCAAAACTTCTTTTGAAAGAACATCATATGCCGCTTCGGATTACCTCGGGTATTGATTTCCGACAACAGCAAACAGTTCGAAGACATCAAATTCCAAGACTGGTGCCAAGATATGGGAATCCGACAGAACTTTACTTCAGTCGCACACCCTCAGGCAAACGATCAGGTAGAAGTAAGGAACAGAGTCATCCTCCGCGGATTAAAGGCACGATTGGACCGAGCTAAAGGATTGTGGGCAAATGAGCTACCTAGTGTTCTATGGGCATACCAGACCACGGAGAAGACCGCTACGGGAGAAACACCCTTCAATCTCACCTACGACATCGAAGCAGTAATCCCTGCGGATATCGAAGTACCTATACTACGACTAGAAGCATACAATGATCAAACGAATGAAGATGAGCTGCGCACCAACTTTGATCTACTCGATGAAGTAAGGGACCTCGCGTACATCAGAACACAACCTACCAACAGAGAGTAGCTCGGTACTATAACGCCAGGGTCAAAAGGCGAAACCTCCGCATCAGCGACTTGGTCCTTCGTAAAGTTATGGTACCCGAGCCCGGCGCCGACAAGCTCGGGTCCAACTGGGAAGGTCCCTACCGAGTAAAGCGAGTGCTCGGCGAAGGAACGTATGAGCTCGAGACCCTCAAAGGGAAACAAGTACCTCGGGCATGGAATATTGTCAACTTAAGACAATACTATCTGTAGCAACCAAGTAGGCCACGAGCCGCTCCCAAAGCCCAAGGGCAAAAATGCCGAGCTAACATGACCTCGGCACAATAAGACCCGGTCGCCTTTGAGGCACGGGCAAACCTCAAAAATAGACTATAAGTCACCCCCAGCCTAAGGGCTAGAACGCCGAGATAATAAAAAGACCTCGGCAGCATACAATATCTAGTTGTCTCATCGGCATAGGCTAAATGCTTGCAAAACCTATGGCACAGGCATTTCGGCCAGGAACCCTGTGACGGATAGCCTGCCTTGGCGTGCAACAAGTTAAACCCGTAAGAGACAACCAACGTCAACTTAACCCGGGTGCAGACAGATCGGACATGTACCCTACTATGTCACTCACCTCGGTATACACAAGGCTACCCCTACTAAGTGTCAGAATACAACTCGGGACCATGATGATCGAGGAACCCACACCCCGGGTAATCAGCCTAGTAGTCCAACAGTTCAGAATAAGACAACCACTTCGACAAGTAAAAGAAAATTACGCAAGTATTTGGCGAAAAAATGTTCTTCATTATATAAGCCCCATTACACTACATAAATGCGTCCAATACAAGAAGCGCCTGACTACTTGGGAGGCTCATCGGCCTTACTCGGGGTTTCTTCAGGGGTTTCCTCAGAAGAATCGGTTAGATCGATGGCGTCAGCCTCCCCGTTGCCGCCGTCGTCTTCAGAGTCCGGGTCATCCGCGGCCTGGCATGCCATGTCATCTGTAATGTTGAAAGAAGTAAAGGCACTTATATCCAGATCGGGGTAGGTATGCCTTATCCACCATCGGCCAAGCTTGAACCCCCTGCGGTAGGCCTTCGACATTACGTTGTCGAACCTCGAGGACTTGACATAGTCGATGACGGACTGAACCTTGGTCTGTTCCAGAGCATCGTGAAAGATCCCCGTCTTCTCCTCGATATCGACATTGAGAAACTCCACTTCGTTCTCTAGGGCCTCCTTGGTTCCCTTGAGGGCCTGCATCTCGAGTTGCGAAACCTTCTGGGCCATTTTGAGGCTTTCCACCTCAAGCTTTAGGGCTTCCCGACCAACTCGGAGCCCGTTCACCTCTGCCTTCAGCCTGTCTCGTTCCCGAGCCAGCTCCTCCCTCTCTAGTACCAAAGTGTCGTTCAAATATTTCTGGGCGGTGGCAACACTCTCCAATTGATGGACCTTGTCCTGCGCTGCCTTCATCTCGGCATGGGCCACACGGGATGACTCCTCAGCAGCCAAAGCGCGCCTCAGGTGTTTATCAGACTGGAAAGTTAAGGCGTGCACGACAGTGTTCGCCTAACAGAAAGAAACTAGTCAACCAAAAAAAAAAGAAAAAAAAACAAAACAAACAAACAAACGAACTTACCACCATGATGTGGGTTGTTGTGCGACCTCCGAGCTGACCTGGGGAGAGTTCGGCCCAGCTCATGGCTTCTGCATTGATGACACCCCTCTTTCTTCGGTCGAGGCTGACCTCGGGATCCAAGATGGATTCCTCCTCTTCAGTCCCCGAGCTAGACGTCGCTGCTTCTGCAGTATGCTGAGCTGACCCCTCTGTAGCCTCGGCGGCCGCCCTAGCTGAACTCGGAGCCTCAGCAGTAACCCCTGCTGGCTCGTTCTCCAACCCTCTTGCAACCTCAGGTATTTGGGGGGGGGGCGGGGGAAGTCACCCTCCAGATCTACCACCGGAGGGGCACTGTTGAGTCCGGTCTCAGGGGCAGGAGCCCGGGAATGATTGGGTTCAGGGGAGGGAGCCCTCGGTGACTCCACACGAGCCCTTTTGGCGACCTTCTTCGGGTCCGCTTCTTCCTCCTCTTCTTCATTTGGCTAAGGAGCCGGGTAGCCGTGATCCTCTCTTCTTCGTCCATGGGGGCTGCAACGGAGTTGGCGTCAGTAAATCCAAAAACGACGAGCAGATAAAAATAAAGCGCCAAAAGACAGAAATAGACCTACCCGGGCTCAAACCGGCCTGAGCGAGCTTCTCTTTGGTGATGTATTCCCGATGATCGAGCTCAGCCTAAGCCCACGAGTGGAAAGCCTCTCACGTCTGCTAGTTGAGGGCGATGCTGGTCGCCTAGGTAGCCACCCTCCAACTGGTAAGGAAGGGCCATCTTGTGCTGGCCCGGACCACAAATTAGTCCCGTTTCCAAGCCGGGACCTTACTTGGGAACTTGTGCAGTAGCTTAAAACCTGGGCGAGGAGATAAGTAGTAGACCTGCCCGTGCTCAGGGGGAGCGCTAGATGCACTCTTTTTTATCAGCAATATGGAGCAGAGTATGTCCGCGTCCAAAGAGAACCGCTTTTCATGACAAAGAGAAATGGTCCCCACTAAATTCCGAATGGAGTTGGGGTGGAGCTGATCCAGCGTAATATTGAAATGCCTTAACACCTCGGGGATGAGAGGGTGAAGAGGGAGACAAAGCCCGCCGACGAGCTGTTCCCTGAAAATCACGACCTCATTCGGACCATGCTCCCAGGGGAAGTTACCAGTGGGAAGGCTGTAGTTGTATTCAGAAGGAAGGTTGAATTGCTGGATGAGGTCTTGAAGCCTCTCCAGTGTCAGAGTAGAGGGACCGAACTGGTCCGGCACCCGACCTCGATGGGAGGTGGACGCCAACTTACCCGAAGCCGCCCATGCTTCGCGGGCAGGTCGGGCCGGGGAAGGGTCACCATGACCCGAAGTGCCCACCCCGGGCTCATCTGAGAAGCTACTCTCGCTAGACATAAGGATGAGCTAAGAAAAGACAAAAGAAAAGGAAAGGAAAGACTCAGAGACTCACCTGAGCTAGGCGAAAACGAACTAAAAAGACCCGAGTTTGAAACTTCAGACGTGAGCTCAAAGCGAAAGCTACTTAGCAGCGAAAGGAATGCCAAAATCCCACTATTTATAGACGCGGGGCCCGGTGACCAGCGGTCAGGATTGGATCAATCCGACGGATATCAGAGAAACCGGCTGTGGGACTCCTAGTGTGAATTCAATT